GCAGTCAGAATATGTACCAGCTTTTCTCTTGGTCACATTCGCTTCTAACTGAGCGTTAGTTCTGCCAGGGAAGGACCTTTTGCTCTTTAAACTATGGGTCAACTACATAGATTCATTTCTACACCGTAATTATTATTAGTAGTAATAGTATAAATCGTAGTTTACACAACAAAGGGTTTCCATAATCACATTTGGGTAGTATCCTTCGCTGTTTTTCAGTCCGATAGGTGAGAAACTTGACATCAGTTTGGGTGTGTGTCTGTATGCGTCCGTATGTGCGCGAATTCGATTCGGACCGCCACAATCGATCGTGGTACGCGCGGGCGCACGCACGCACGTACACGCGCGCATGTGTGAAAGTAAACCACAGTGAACGAGCGGTTTTATCAACAGACAGTCACGTGACACTGACAGCTGATGATGGTGACGGTAATGAGCGCTATTCAGCGGAACAACGCCACCCATGAACTGCATAGCCGTGTGGACGGCGTTGGGTTTGAGGGGGCACAATTCGCGATTTGAACACACCCGGGTGTGGGCTGATCCAATTCGATCACATGTTGATTGTCTAAACGCCTAATCGCGTTGAATTGAAACAAACAAAAATCACAGGGATTTGTCCTGTTTTGGGGACTCGTCAGCAGCGTGTACCACGTTCCGTGTCCCCGTGTCACGACTCGAACCGCGAACCGTCGTTTTGGGATATCAGACCTTTAACCCTGAGCTCAACACGACCGACGGTCATCACCTTGCGTGAATGGCTCAGTCAATATGGGGGTATGATGTTTGGTCCTCACAATCATTTCCATCGCGTTAAAATGTATTCCACTGTAGTGGGCAATTAACGATCATCTCCCAAGGAGTGAAACTCACATCCAAGACCGTCAAGAGCACCTGATGCCTAAGAACAATCGAATGGGTTAATTGAAGCGTGATACTCTAAAAAGAATAGGAAATATTTATTACATTAAGATGTCAAAACCAGGTGTGATTCACTCCAGCACTGTTAGACTAGTGCTTATCATTATTATCATTGATAAACTTCATCGAGTGTTATAACGGTGTTAGCCTGATAGACCTGGAAGAGAAAGACTACCCATCCGTACAACCTATCTAGTACAAACTCCCCGTGTCCAAGGGAAGAGCAAATCACTTGTTCACGTGACCATGACGTAATATGAGGAAGTTCGCAATTGCGTAATCCAATCCGCGAACCGATGTTTGATTCGATCGATTTTTGTTTCATATAAGTGTGATTGTAAAAGCTTTGAAATGAATTCATCGAAACTGTCCGTTCACGTGCATTGTGTGTTCTTATCTCCCAATGTTTGAAACCTTTTCATTTCAAATTTAAACCCTATTTAGATTATTCTAGCTAGAACGAAAGTCTGAATTTAATTTTTGTAATCAATGAAATGGGGTCTTCGAAATCGCCTCCATGATCGGGAGTGCATTTCATCGATAGTGAACGCTTACAAAACGATCCTATACTCGATCAATCGTCTCGAATAGTCTTTTATGGAGAAGCCCAAAGTAGGGAAGGTAGGCCTGACTCCCAATCCCCTCCTTTCGCTGCCAGCCATTCTTTGATTGTTCTG